CGCTCCTTGAGGAGCTTGAGGAATTGGGAAAGAGGAGTGACTTTGGAATATGCAACCAGGTTGTTTTCACAACCGGCTGTACGTGCGAGAGACCTAGCGAAGCTAGCYGCKTCGTCCTTCAGGGCCTGGAAGGCCACGAGGACTTGCTCCTCTATCAGGATATGTTGTAAGTAAATGTAACTGTTGACACTGGCCTCCCAGTTGTCAAAGTTCTCATCCTTCTTTCCCCCGTACGCGTCCGGGAACTTGAGTTTCACTGGGTCCTTACGGGGTCTGCCCTCTCCTTCTACGATGGCTGCAGCTTTGGCACCCTGAATGGCACCCTCACAAAACTTCCCTACATTGTCTCTCAACTGTTTGACTTCGCCCCCAATGTGGGTGACGATTTCGCGCGCAAAATCCTTTAACCCGGACCGCATGGCACTCAACGCTACATCCTGGCTCCAACTTGCCTGGCGCTCCTCCATCCAGGCCTTGCTCAACACCTCTAGATAGCCCAGTACTTTGTCCCACTTGGCCTTATCATCTGGCTAGGCCAGCACCTCCGCTCTACACTCCTGCACCTTCGCCACTGCTGCGGTCATATTATTCACTTCCTCTCTCCTCCTCTATTTCTCCCTCTTCATTCTCAACTTCCATGCTAACTTTTGCTCGTCTTCCCTCTCTCTTCGTTCCATTGGGTCTGTCATGGCTACTAGCTCAGCGGCCAGCGCAGCCTTCTCATCCTTAGTCACATAGGACTCCGCCTCCTCATCTTCCCCCAACGATAAATTAGCGACCCACTCGCTGATCTTTTTCTCCAGCTCAGTGTTTGTCTCCCACTTCATCGTGCCACCACTGCTCCCTTCTCCACTCTCAATTCTCATTCTCTCTTTCTCTTCTTCTGCTGCCGCTTCTGCTTCAGCAACTTTTCTTCTTTCTTCCTCCTCTTGTTGCACTCTCTTCATCTCCTCCTCCAACCTCTTCATCTTCGCCGCCTGTTCGTTTGCGATAGCCTTTAGTTTCGCCTGCTTCTCGCGCTCTCTTCTCTCCTTGTTCTCTTTCACTAAGGCGACCATCTTTGCTTGTTGCTCAGGGGAATAGGGACTAGTCTCCGTCCCACTACGGGTCTCAACCATGGTGATTAGTGTACAATCGGGTTAGTGGTTCCAAACCTCACCACGTAGACTCTGACCCCTGACTCACAAACCTATAGACTCGATCTCAGACTTACAGAATCCTGACAAGGACCCTGTCAACTATGGTCTCTAGCCTAGACCTATGCTATGGCTGTCACTACTGAACCAGTGGCTGATCAGGAGGCATTTAAGGAGATCCCCCGTAACTCCTCAAGAATTCTTTAACGTCGCAGTCAGGACGACATGATCAGCATGGCTCTGCCTCTGCTTTCAGCCCACAAGTCAGCCTTTCCGGCCTACTGTGCCACACCGAGCAGCCCGCCGGTCTGTACCGGTCCTTGGGAGGGTTCGTATACCCCGGGACAGTTGAGTTGTCAGACACAGATCATCAGCCTTACTTGGTCTGGTAGGGGAGTGGTTCCAACAGGCCCTCAACACTTAACGATGGCCTCCGTTTCACCCTGCAGCTCAGAGTTCGGACCCTCTACACTGAAACTGAGCAGACCTGCCGGACAGTACCGGTCATTGGGCTAGACGAGTTGTTTAACGAGCGCTCGCCGCTCATGCCCAGGTCTCCAGATACCAGAGTAGAGATTAGTCCTACTAAGTCTCGTGCAGGTTTGGCGGCAAGGCCCTATCCTTCATCCACACAGTTCTATGACCTAGGACAGAAGAGACTCAATGTAGAAAGAATAGACAGACAGACTGTACTCAGCAAGTACCAAGGGGTATGTGCACATCCATAGGGCAAGGGGCAGGCTAAGGGCGTGGCGAGATGTTACCAACTTCAGCTTGGTCAAAGTCTTGGTCAACGCCTTGGTCAACGCCTTGGCCAACGGCCTTGGTCAACGCCGGTCAATGCTGCTATGACCCTCGGTCAACTTCGGTCAACTCCGGTCAACGCCTCCGGTCAACCCTCTCGGTCAACTCCCCGGTCAGCTATGGCTGCCGGCACTTCTTCCTCGCCAATCCCCTTCTTCTTCCTTACCTCCCTCGCCGCCTTTCCCCCGCTGTCTTCTTCTTTCTCTCTTTTTTTTTTTTTCTTTTTTTTTGTTCGGCCTCCTCTTCACCTCCTA